GCTGGGACTACAGGCGCCCGCCACCGCACCCGGCTAATTTTTTGTATTTTTAGTAGAGACGGGGTTTCACCGTGGTCTCGATCTCCTGACCTTGTAATCCGCCCGCCTCGGCCTCCCAAAGTGCTGGGATTACAGGCGTGAGCCACCGCGCCCGGCCACAATCTTCTTGTTCATGTCATATGACCTTGTCCATGTGACAACCCTGTTATCAATGTCACAGTCTCCTTGTTATCAACATCAGGGCTTTGTCTGGGCCATAACCTCATTGCCTATGTCATGACCTTGTCTGGGTCACAATCCTCTTGTTCCTGACGTGGCTGTGTTGACTGCGTCATGACCGTCTCGTATGTCCTAATCGTGTGGTCAGGTCATGGATCATTCTCGTATGATCTCCATGTCCATGTACAGTCATTTTCTGTGCCACCACCCCCTATGTCTGTGTTGTGTGTGACCTTGCTTGGGTCCTGCCTTCGTAACAGTGTCATAACTACCTCCAGCCCTTCATCATCCCCCCATCTCTGTCCTTGCCTCATCTCATCCCCAGGCTATCTCCCCTGTCCCTTGCACAAGTTCACTCACCAAGTCGCACCCCCAGTTTGCTCTCATGACCTTGTTTGTGTCTTGACCTTGCAGTGTGAGTTGTGATTCGTGAGGGAGTCACAGCTCCCCACTTTCCATGTCCTCAGCCCACTGGCTGGGTGACAACTTGATGCCAAGTTGCCTGAGGGTCATGGTATTTTTTAGTGTATTTCTACTCAGTTTGCTTGTGGGATTCTAACCTTGACATCCATGTCATGACCCCGAGAGTAGGTGTCTGTGCCCACAGGCTGTGTCTATATATTGCTGTCCCTGTTATGACCCTGAGAGCAGGTGGCTGTGTCTGTATATTGCGTCCCTGTTGTGACTCTGAGAGCAGGTGGCTGTGTCTGTATATTGCGTCCCTTTTGTGACTCTGAGAGCAGGTGGCTGTGTCTGTATATTGCTGTCCATGTCACAACCCCGAGAGCAGGTGGCTATGTCTGTGTATTGCTCTCCCTGTCATGACCCTGAGAGCAGGTGGCTGTGTCTGTGTATTGCTGTCCATGTCACAACCCCGAGAGCAGGTGGCTGTGTCTGTATATTGCTGTCCCTGTCGCGACCCTGAGAGCAGGTGGCTGTGTCCATTGGCTGCGTCCGTGTATCGTTGTCCTTGTCATGATCCTGATGGTAGGCATCTGTGACCCACTGTGTGTCCATATATTGTTGTCCCTGTCACGACCCTGTGACTACTGTGATTATGTCTGAATTCTTTTGAGCATTTCACAGTTTCCACCGAGCTCCATGCCATGACCTCTGTTCCCATGTTTTGATACTGACAACCCACCATGACTTGGTTATCTGAGGGCCAGCGCAGTGCCTGTGCCCCTGTTTCTGTGTCAAAACCCTTGTATCCTTATGATGCCACCAGCTATCTGTGTCACACATCACACAGCCATAGGGTGATACCCCAGTCAGAAAGCCCTCCGGGAACTGCCGGGGCCCTTGGAAGCAGCTCTAGAAGCCATTGGGGCTGAGTTTTGCCCAGAGGAAGGTCCAGGATCTCATGCACGGCCAGGAGGTACCGGAGCTTGGTCTATAGCTGCGCCCGCTTTCTGGCAGGTGAATGACGTGCCATTCCAGAACCTGACACGGGAGGAGGCGGTGCAGTTCCTGCTGGGGCTGCCACCGGGCGAGGAGATGGAGCTGGTGACGCAGCGGAAGCAGGACAGTGAGTGCGCGTGGATGTGGGTGTGCCTGTGTGTGTCGGCGGGGGACCTGGCTGTGTGGCCTGGTGGCGAGTGCAGGGGTGTGGTTGAATCTGCATCTCTGCACCCTCCATCCCTCTCCCCAGCCCCTGCAGGGACAGTGCCCAGGTCTCCTGGGTGGGTTCCCTCCAGCCAGACCCACTCTCCGCAGGGGAGGGCTCAGATCAGGCAGCTCATGCGGCCTTCTGCTCTCCCCAGTTTTCTGGAAGATGGTGCAGTCCCGCGTGGGCGACTCCTTCTACATCCGCACTCACTTTGAGCTGGAGCCCAGCCCACCGTCCGGCCTGGGCTTCACCCGCGGCGATGTCTTCCACGTGCTAGACACGCTGTACCCGGGCCCCGAGCAGAGCCACGCGCGAGGAGGCCACTGGCTGGCGGTGCGCATGGGTCGTGACCTGCGGGAGCAAGAGCGGGGCGTCATTCCCAACCAGAGCAGGTGGGGACTGCGCACCCCTGCAGCGGGGCCCTTCTGCTTCAGCCTCAGTCTCCCCATTAGAAATGGGCTCGCTATCGGCCGGGCGCGGTGGCTCACGCCTGTAATCCCAGCACTTTGGGAGGCCGAGGCGGGCGGATCACGAGGTCAGGAGATCGAGACCATCCTGGCTAACACGGTGAAACCCCATCTCTACTAAAAATACAGAAAAATAAAAAGCCAGGTTGGTGACAGACGCCTGTAGTCCCAGCTACTCGGGAGGCTGAGGCAGGAGAATGGCGTGAACCCGGGAGGCGGAGCTTGCAGTGAGCCGAGATCTCGCCACTGCACTCCAGCCTGGGTGACAGAGTGAGACTCCGTCTCAAAAAAAAAAAAAGTTAGCCAGGCGTGGTGGCGGGCGCCTGTAATCCCAGCTACTCGGGAGGCTGAGGCAGGAGAATTGCTTGAACCCAGGAGGCAGAGGTTGTAGTGAGCTGAGATTGTGCCACTGCACTCCAGCCCACTCCAGCATGGACAACAGAGCAAGACTTTGTCTCAAAAAAACCCAAAATAATCATCATCATCTCATTTGCAGAGTCCCATTTGCCATACAAAGTGGCCCGTCCACAGGCTCCGAGGGGTAGGACGAGGATACCTTTGGGGCTGTGATGCTGCTGACCCCAATGCTCAGTACTGTCCCCTCTCCTCCCCAGGGCAGAGCAGCTGGCCAGCCTGGAAGCTGCCCAGAGGGCCGTGGGAATCGGGCCTGGCTCCTCCGCAGGCTCCAATGCTCGGGCCGAGTTCTGGCGGCTGCGGGGTCTTCGTCGAGGAGCCAAGAAGACCACCCAGCGAAGCCGCGAGGACCTCTCAGCTCTGACCCGACAGGGCCACTACCCGCCCTATGAACGAGTGGTGCTTCGAGAAGGTGGGGCCTGGGGTGGGAGGGGCCCTGGGGAGGCCTCACAAAGAGGTCCTGGTGCACCTGTTCCCTCACATCCAGCCTCTAAAAGGCACAGTCTTGGCCGGGCGTGGTGGCTCACACCTATAATCCTAACACTTTGGGAGGCTGAGGTAGGAGGATCTCTGAGGCCAGGAGTCCCAGACCAGCCTAGGCAGTAAAGCAAGACTACATCTCTACATCAAATCTATTTATTTATTTACTTTTTATTTTATTTTTTATTTTTGAGACGGAATCTTGCTCTGTGGCCCAGGCTGGAGTGCAGTGGCGTGATCTCCACTCACTGCAAGCTCCACCTCCCGGGTTCACGCCATTCTCCTGCCTCAGCCTCCTGTGTAGCTGGGACTACAGGCGCCCGCCACCACGCCTGGCTAATTTTTT